CAGCCTATGTTTCTACTGCGGCAAATTTGGACACTTTGATAGACAATGCCGTAAGAAAGTGGAAGATATAAGGAACAGAGTAATGAAGGCAGGCCAGTACGGAGAATGGCTACGAGCACCAGAAGGCTATGCTATCTCTGGATCTCCTCTTAACAGTAATACGAGTGAGCCTTCTTCTGAGTATCGATTTACTGAGTATAGGAAGCAAGATCCTCCAAGCACATCATCTGAATTAAGGAATGATGACCATACTCCAGGAGGCCATGAAGGAAGGGAGGGAGGTGACCCCTACCTAACACCTCAATCTAAAGAGAAAGGTAGTCAGTCCAAAAATCTATGTATGGTAGAATCTTCCTCCTCGGTGCAAGAGCAGGTTAATGGAAATGCTAGGAAGGAATTATCAGTGATCAATCCAAAGCTAGCCCAAATTTCAGAGGGGAAGCTGGACTTAATTCCAGAAGTGGAAGAGATCAGAATGGAGATTCGTGGACCCACCTTCCAATTATCAGACAAAGGAAAAGAAATTGTTGTTGCCAATCAGAACAAATGGAGGACTTCTTCTAGAGTGGGGAGAAAAGTAGGGAGTGTAAAGATAACTGATTCTCATGAAGATCTATTGGGAGGTAAAAGAAGTAGACAAGGGTGTCTCACTGTTACTCAGGATGATAAAGCAACTGAGCAGGAGAAAGGACATAGCAAGAAGCAAAGGAGGAATACAACAGAGGTGGAGGCATCTAGCCCTAATTGGCTCCACAATACCCAATGCTACCTCTGATGTGGAATTTTAGAGGATTGGGGGGCCCTCTACAATTCCCCAAATTTGAGAGGCTATGCATACTCACTTCCCATATTTTCTTTTTTATCTGAAACAAAAAAATAAAAAAAAATAATAATTACTCTTAATGTCTGTAAAAAGCTGGGTTTTGAGCATATATTTCATTTTGTGGATCATGTTGGCACTAAAGGTGGCATGTTTCTATGTTGGGACCTACAGGTGGAGATGATTCAAGTAAGAAGCTCAGATTGCTCTATCCAAATCCAATATTCTGTGAACAATGAGGATCCCTGCTGGCTCATTTTTGTGTACTTGAATACTGAGGTTCAAATCAGAAAAGAACAGTGGCAAAGGTTTGAGGAAGATGAAGACCTATGGGCTGATACTTGGTGCATGATAGGGGACTGCAATGATATCACCAGAGGGAAAGATAAGAAGGGTGGAAGAATTAGATCTCTCAGAAGCAGATTACCTTTCATAAATTTTGTGGAGGCTATAGGAATGACTGAACTCTCTATGGCTGGATATAAGTATACATGGTGTAACAACAGGAATGGTGAAGGTATTCTCGAAGAACAAATTGATAAAGCCTTTGTATCTCTGGGATGGCTCACAAGATATCCCTTCTCACAAGTGTCTAATATGTTCAGAAATGCCTCGGATCATGGGATGCTTATTTTGCAATCAGAGGTAACTGCAGCCAAGAGAAAAAGAAGGTTTTCTTTTGACAAGAGATGGTTGAAGAGAGATGGAATTATGGATGTAGTCAGAAAGGCATTGACTAGTGAGCAGCTGGGAACCCCTTTTTTCAAACTCAAAGAACAAGTCAAATTGACCAGAATAGCACTGTCATCCTGGAGTAAACAGTTCGGGGCAGAGAATAAAAACAGAATCAGAGCTCTTACATTGAAGCTGGAAGACATGAGATCTTTAGGGGAAGGGAAGAACTGGGAAGAATGGGAATCTATTAAAAAGGAATTGGATGATGCTCATTGCTCTGAGGAACAGTATTGGCAGCAGAAGTCGAGGAACCAGTGGCTGAAAGAGGGAGATCAAAATTCTAGATTCTTTCATGCGGTCACAATGCGAAGAAGGAAAAAGAATGCCATAACTCGACTAATTGATGAACATAACAGAGTCCTTGAATCACCTGAGGAGGTGGAAGTTTATATCTCTGATTATTACAAGAAATTGTTCTCTTCTGAAGGGTCTCATGGAGAGAAAAGAATTCTTAATCTTATACCTCAATCTATCACCCCTGAGATGAATGATGCTCTAACTGTTGAGGTAGAAGAAGAGGAAATCCAACACTCCTTATTTGTAATGAACCCTTTGAAGGCTCCAGGAGAGGAAAGTATGACTGCATTATTTTATCAACATTTTTGGCCTGTGATCAAAAGAGATGTGTGTGGGGCTGTTCAGAGTTTTTTCTCATCTGGTCTTTTGCTTAAATACTGGAACCATACATTAGTTACCCTGATTCGAAAATGTGTTCATCCCACTTCACTGAATCAATACAGACTTATTAGTCTGTGCACGGTGGTGTATAAACTTATCTCTAAAATCCTGGCTTCTAGGCTTAAATCTTGCCTCCATGTCTGTATAAGTGATAAACAGGGAGCCTTCATCCCTGGGAGACAGTTACTAGACAACATCATTATGGCTGTGAAGTTAGACATGATGAAAGCTTATGATCGTGTAAAATGGAAATGTCTAAGATCTCTCATGCTAAAGATGGGGTTTGCTGTTTCTTTTATGAACTGGATAATGTGATGCATTTCTTCATCTACTTTTTCCTTTATGCTGAGAGGAGAGGCTGTTGGCTTGGTTCAACCATCTAGAGGATTAAGGCAAGGGGATCCCATCTCCCCTTACCTTTTTCTTATTGTTTCTGAAGCTTTATCTGCTTTAATAAGTTCTGCAGCTGAGGGGGGTATTTTCAGAGGAGTCAGATTAGCAAAGAATGGTCCATCTCTCACTCATTTGCTTTTTGCTGATGATTCACTGTTTTTTTGCAAAGCTGATGTTGGGCAGGCTATGGTTCTTAAAGACTTGCTTGAGACTTATGAATCTTTCTCTAGGCAAAAAGTGAATTTGTCTAAGTCTACAGTCTTCTTTAGCAGAAATACTGCTTGTTCTGTGAAAGTTGATGTTTGCTCTGTGCTAACTGGTTTAACTGCCCACTCATCAACTAGATATTTGGGGCTACCCCTGGGAATTGGTAAATCGAAGAAAAAGGCTTTTGAATTTGCTGTTCAAACTGTGAGGCAAAGGCTGGCAAGCTGGAGGAATAAATTTTTATCAACTGCAGGCAAGAAGATATTAATTAAGGCTGTGATTAATTCTCTACCTGTCTTTGCCATGTCTACTTTCAGACTACCAGCTGGCATTTGTAATGAAAATTCCCAACTTGCTGCTCATTTTTGGTGGAGCAAGGGGGATTCACAGTCCAAAGGCATTCATTGGAAAAGGTGGAAATTCTTATCTTTTCCAAAACAAAAAGGAGGGTTGGGATTACAGGACATTAAGATCTTCAATGAGGCCCTCATACTCAAACAACTATGGAGGATCACTACTCAGCCAAACCTTCTGGTCAGTCAACTTCTCAAAAGCAAGTATTTTCCAAACACTTCCATCTTTGAAGCTGAGAAAAAATCTTCATCATCATGGCTGTGGAACAATTGGTTACAAGTGCTGCCAACCTTTCAATTGAATTGTGTTAAGGAAGTGAGATCAGGGCAGAATACAAAGATTAAGGATGGAGGTCGGGTACCACTTCTTAAAGGTATGGCTCCTAAACTTTCAAATGCCTCTTCTATATCTCCTGCATGGGTTGCTGAGTTGTTGGATGATACTAAGAGACACTGGAATGTGGAGTTGATCAGAAGCCTGTTCTCTAATGTTGAAAGTGCAGCAATTCTTCAGATTGATACTATAGGCTAGAGAGGACTTATGGAGATGGAAAGTCAATAAGAAAGGGGGTTTTTCTGTATCTGATTCATACTCTTTTTTGATGTCTGAAAAGATTAAGAATATGGATATTGCTGAAGGCAGTAATTCTCAGAAAGTTGATGCTGTTGTGAGAAACAAGAGCTGGAAGCTGAGGGTTCTTGGGAAAATAAAACACTTCATTTGGAAGTGCTTTACTGGCATTCTTCTTGTGGGCATGAATTTGAAAAAAAAAAGGGGGATGGATATTGATGTTATCTGCAAGGTGTGTGGAGAAGCAGAAGAGACCATTGAACACCTACTACTGCATTGCCCTAAGGCCAAAATGGTATTGAAACTTGCTCTTGTGTCTTGGAAACTATCTCCTCTAACAGAAACCAACTTCGGAATGTGGTGGTGGCAGATTTGTAGCCTTGATAAATCAGATGTATCTGAAGCTAGAATCAAGCTGTCAACATATATCTTGTGGTGGCTGTGGAGATCAAGAAACTTGTGGGTATTCAATGCCGCAAAAATCCCAGAAACAGTGCTTGTTAAAAGAGCAGTCCTAGAGTGGAAAGAGTTCTGCAATGTGGCTGCTCACTGAAGTTTGCTTTGTTTCTCCCAGTAGGCTGTAGTGTGTCTTGTATTGTTAGCTTCTGTTGTATGTTGTCTTTCTTTAGTGTCTTGTTATTTCTGCCTGTTCTGGTAGTTTTTAGTGTTTTGTTTTTCTATTATGGTTTGTTCAAGTTAGTTGTTCTGGCTGTGTTGGTTTGGGTAGTGCCTTGGTTCAGGCTGTTTGCCGGCTTGGTATCTCTGATTTGGTTGTAATGTAGGCCACTAATTGTAGTGGTTCTCCCAGTTTCTTTCTACCAGTTGGTAGTATTGGTAGTATCGGTCTGTACTTGACATTCTTTTTTGTTATGACCATTTATATCGTTGGTTAAAACAAAAAAATACTACAAATAGCTCCACATTATGCACCTTCATACTATGCTCGAGAGTCCAAAACCTCCACCATCTGACTGCCTTCCATATCTATCACTTCTTTCACAATATTAAAAAATAAATAAATCTCAAAGGAGAGGATCCATCCAATCAAATCATTAATCAAACATAAGTATCAAGTTTAGCAACCAAATCAGGGTAAACTGGATACAGTTTACAACAAAAAACTTCCAATTTTTTTAGCAGCAGAGCTTCTAAATACCTCAGCTGCCCCAAGAAACACTTCGAGCAAACACAAACAAAATCGATCTGCAAAAGTCAAACGTTTTTGAACTCCCTCACGATGTTGTCAGTCACTGATTTCCTTGCTTCTCAGCGCAGAGTCAAGGAGTTTGACTTTTCTGCTGTTCTCTGTGTTAATTAGTGAGAGTTTGGCGAGTGCAGATTTAAGTTGGGACACATCGTCTTGAACCTTATTGGGCCTTCGCCCCGGCTTTTGTGTTTGTTTGCTTGGGGAATTGGACTTCATGTAATGCATGTGTCTTTGCAACCTCACCTTCAAGGCCTCTATGGTAGAGCGCAGTGCATCCAACTCCAAACCGGTAAACTTATCTGCACGAAGATAAAAGGACGTTATGAATTTCTGCCCGGAAAGTGTTGATCAGTGATAATGAAAAAGTAGAAATTAATTCTATGCGAGAGGACATAGTATGGTGGCCACATGGCTAGAGACGGCATGTGCAATGGGAAATTGCATCGTCTGCCTAAGGCAGCCGCACTGGGCTTTTCCTCTAGCCAAAAGCACGCCCACAAGGCCACATCTTCAAATTTCATTAAAGAAAACCAAAAAAAAAAGGACAAGTATGAAATTTCTAGAATTGGAGCCCTAAATCACCCTTTAATTAGGAATTTCACACCTCACTAGGGTTTTCTCTTAGGGAAAAATACCCAATTAAGCAATTTAGATGTATAAAATTGGGGGACCAACAATGGACCTGTCCAATTTCCAACCTCCTCTGACCGGCTGCTATCTCACTCCCAGCTGACCTCCGCTGAGCCCCAGCAAATTAGTGTTGCTGTGTTTTCCTCTCTCCTTTCTTTTCTGGTTTAACCCAAACCAATCTGCTTTCTTTTATTTTCTCTCTCATTTTCATTATCAGTTTCTTTTTATTTTCTTTCTATAGTTTGTCTATTTTTTATTTTAATTTTATGTATTTTCTGCTCTCTTTTTTTCTTTTAGTTTATTTTATTTTCAGTTTCAACGAATTTTATTTGAGTTTTTATCTCAATTGGAAGTAGAAGTTCGCAAAAATTTAATGATTTCAACAATTTACTTTCATAACTTTTCTCGATTTGATGGAATTCTAATTTTCCAGTATTATGTTAAACTCAAAAAGTATAACCTCAAGACATTATTAAGGAATCATTCCATTCTAGCTACGGGGGTGTTCTTTTTCTTCTCACGGTCTTTCTCGACAGCATAACACAACACAAGAACGAGTATGCCCAAATCCTGGGATAGAACCCATCTTTCTCAACCTAATAAGTCATAGGCAAAGGAAGAATTGCTTCTCTACCTCAACTGTGTGAACTCTCCACTTTCTTTTTAGTAGGCTCAGGCGGTGTATGTGGGCTGATACATCAATTGATTCACTCCTTCCTCAGCATACGTCGCTTGGTGTATTGGGATTCCAATTTTATTTTTCAGGAGCTAATGTTAGCTGTGAAATGCGTTCTTGCCTTCTTAGAGATATTTGAGGGTGATTTTGCCATTTGAACAAAAATATATAATTGCACCATCTATATTATTATTTTCTTTTAATTCAACTCTTCCATTGCCAAGACCTCACAACTCTCGCTTATAGCCATACAAGGGCATGTCGCCTCAGATCGCCATTGGCCATTTAAAACTATGTGAGAGGATACAATATTATTTTACGGAGGGAAAAAATGTAAATCTTCAGTAATCTATATCTATAATCTATCTATCTATAATCTATCTACAATCTATAACTCCCTTAAAAGTATGAGTAGTTTCTTGAAACTTTTGAAGTGCCAAGAATGCCCTTACTAAAGATAAGTTTAATGTTACAACTAACAATATTTGTTAAATTTTTAAACTTTCATTTCTTTATTTACTTATATTCATTATCTTTTATTTTTTATACTTAATTATATCTTAAAGTTTTTACACATACAAAAAGATTATCTCCACAAATTGATAGATTTTAAATAAATAGTATATTTTAAATTATATTAATCATAATTAGTTTACATACGACCTATGACGTTAGGTTTCAGTTTGGTTATTTTAAAGGTAGTTTTTAAATGTAAGAGAAGATATTATTTTAAATAAAATATTTTTATTTCATAAGTGTAAAATATATATGCATCAATGAAAAATACCATCTATAATTACCAACTATCATATTATTACTACATAAACTTTTTGTAATAGTATTAAAAAAAACTAAAGAGGACAAATTTGGTGAATATGCATATGTTTAAGGATGATTGAATGAAGAATAATTCTTCATCATACAAACTGTCAATTCTTTTGTGGAATAAAGTTATTCGTTAAGTGAAAAATATATAATATTAAAATATTTTGTTTAAATTATTCACTAAAACAATATGCATAATATGATTTAAGTTTACCTGTTAATAATAGTATGTATAACATAATGTTCTTTTATGATAGTATGTGTTACATAAATTAATCTACTATCTATTTTAATTGTAATATAAATAAAAATAGAGTAACTATAAAAATTAAATAAAATAACTGAAACTCTATTTTAAATCTTGAATTTCAAAAAATGTGCACTTATTAAAAAATAGTTACAATTAAAATATGCTAAATACAAGTAAATAGTACATTTACTTTAAATTTGTTGTCATTAGCCACTCTTATTTATAAAACTAACATTAATTTTGTGCACATGCACATGTTAGAATAAATAAATATTATATATAAAAATCATAATTGAAACAAAATTTTATTCAATAGTATTTATAATTGAATTAAATTAAAAACCCTTAGTTGAATTTTTATACTTCGATAAAAAAGAACAATAGAAATGTAAAACCTATATATTAATGACTATTATTATATGAATATAATGAATAATCTATATTATATATTAATGTTGTATTAATAATTAAATTATTACCAAAGTAAAGAAATATAAAATATAAAATGGACAATGTAAATCTTATATACCACATAAATTGATCTTTTTTCAGAGAATTATCGAACAAATGATATACATACTATATTTATATAATAAAATACGTGTACATTTAGATTATTTCATTGATAATTTTTCACTTATATTTAAGTAATTATATTGGTATTACTTTATAAGAAAAATATTTCGTCATATTAAATATGAATATAATTTTTTTCATTTGCACAAATATGTAGAAAAAATAAAAAAACCATTTCACCTCAATTATTACACCTTACTAAATTTTTTTATGTATTTTACAACACTTAAAAAACTAATTTTGAATAAAAATTGATAAAAGATAACATAAGTTTATAAACTAACATTAATTTACATTATTAAGATGGCTTG